GCTATTTGACATTGGTAATATATATAAAAACTATTGTTAATTAATTTTTAAGGAGATCAATATATATTTTTTTGTTGAATTGCTATAAAAACCATTCTTAAAAACATTACACTTCATGTTCAAACTGCAGATCAAAGTTTTCTGTTGTTGTCATGATATCTATCTATAGCTATGCTTAAGGTGATTCGCTTTGTCAGCCATGTTTGTTTTACTAAGTATGTCCAAAGTGAAAAGTAGGCCAAAATTCATATAACAACAAAGCTCTTATTGTAAAATGATGAACCATTTCGAAAATTTAAGGACAATTATAAAAAAAATAAAAATGATAACAAATAAGAATATTTACCTTGAATGTGCTACCATTTCTGAAGACCAAAAACATTCTATTGCAAAGTTTTTATGCACATTTCATGTAGTGGCCAAAATCCTTTTAAAATGTCTGTTTTAGTGCCAACAAAAGCTATTTTTTTGCAGCAAATACAAACTAACTCAAAATAAATTAGTATCTCATGTCCTTCTAAGCACATGGCCTCCTATTAATTTTTGTAAAAAAGTAGTGCAAGAAAACAATCATCATTTATAGCCTTATGAACTACAATTAAAATAAAAAACACAATCAAACTTTAAAATCTTACGTTTTATGTGTAAACAGTGAAGTGTGTCTGTTTGTCATATACACAAGAAAATAGGTAAATGATGTTTTTTCATGGTACTATTTTTTTACACATGTCATGGAGGCCATGTTTTTTCAAGGTCAGATAAACTACTTTCCTAAGATTTATGTTTTTTTTAAAGTTTTTTGTATTTCTGCAAAAAATAGCATTTTTTGCACTAAAATAGACTTTAAACTGGATTTTGCCATTCATGAAAAGTGCATTAAGATTTGCAACTAGAATGTTTTTTTGGTCTTCAGAAATGTAGCCCATTCAAGGTAAAGTTCTTATTGTTATCATTTTTATTTTTTGATTAAAAAGTCTTTAAACATAGAATTGAAAAGTTTACTTGCAAATGGCTCATCATATAACAATGTGAGCTTTCGTTGTTATATGAATTTTGGCCTACTTTCACTTAGCACAGACTTTGTGAAAACAAACTTGGCTGACAAAGCGGAATCACCATCCGCTCGTTAGGCTACAAAATGCATCTTTCGCTGTCGAGTGGCGGACATCCCGAACATGTCACCAGTCATACCATTAATACAAAGTGGTATGCTGTACCAAAGACCTAATGAAATGTAACCTTATGTACTAAAATTTTTTATTTAAAACAAAATAATCAAATGTTTTTAAAATTTTAATTTCATAAAATAAAATTTAAAAAAAATTAAAAAAGCAAAAGTTTTTAAATCTTTTTCCCGAAATCTTCTTTTATTGAAAATTTAAACAAATAGTTAAATTTAATGCTGTTGTAAAAGTTTTTCAAAATATAAAAAAATTAAATTTTGTCACAAAAAAGGGAAAAAACAATTTTTAACCTAAGTTCAAAAATCAAAACATTTTATAGCTTTTTAAGCTTTCGAATTTTGTAACAAAAATGCTTTCCTTTTCTCATTCATTAATATACATCTGGAATCCCCGACGGGAAAACCCAAATAAAAAATCGAAAGGATTTTTGAATCAGTTTTTACTTTTAGCTTTTTAAATGAAAGGATTTATTGCTCAAATCCGGGCCCATGGACAAAAAAATAGTAAACACAAATAGCTCCGCGCCTGTGGGCGCGGAGCAATAATTAAAGGTTTTCATAATTGTACTTGTTATTGGTTGAGCTTGATTATTAAGCGTGAATCCTTTGGCTTTATAACAATATCATTATGATAACAAACTCCAACTACTGACATCATAGTTACACAGCTTTTCCCTTATGTTGTTGCTTATGGGTCAATAAAAAAATTGTAATTCGCTGGATAGGGCCTTTTAACTGGGATCAAAAGATAATTTTCTAGATGCTCATGCAGTTCAGCTGGAAGATATGTAGATGTGTATTTAGATGATGCATTAGTCTCAAGACAAAGCCTCATTCACCGACATCTGACTTGGAAACCAGTGCATGTATGGGAGGACAGGGTTGTTTGACAGTAATAAGAAACCCTTAAGTGAAGCAAAATTAAATCTAAGCTATTATATAAGTGTTATTGGTTTTAAATGTCTAATGACAATATTAATCATCCTACTTAATATTGCCTGAATTTCAATATCGCAATGAGTGAATTGCATTGGGCAACTCTGAGTAAACTAATTAGAAATTTCTCAGGTGTTTAGTCAAGTTTAAAAACCTTGTTGAAAGAAATACTTGCATATAGTGCTGTGCAAATATAAGTAGGAATCTGAGTAGCCACTCTATATGCTTGCATAAACTGTCAGATAAAATACTTGAAAGCTCTATATTTAGCAGATAGGGCAGGGAAGAGTGTAGTGTTCGCTGCGTAAACCCTAAATGGTTCAAAGGAGTAGGGACTTTCTAGAATTTTTATCTCTTACATTCTTGTCTCTTATGTTCAATTGCCTTAAAATATTCAGTACTGTCTTTAATATTACATGTACTTCTATATTACAACTATATTGGCCTATAGAAAAATGCCCGTCATCTTTGATTTTTCGGCCATATTGGATTGTTTTGTGTTTTTTTTTAAATTCTGTTTTGGTGTCTAATTTGGTTTTACCTTAAATGCTTTGTGACAAATTTCAGACTTTTCCTATCTTTAAAAGTTTAATTTGATATATCATCAATTTATGATAAAGAAATTTGGCGGTTCCTATATTGGCCTTAAGAAAATGTCCGCCATCTTGGATTTTTTTCGGCCATATTGGATTGGTTTTTTTTTAAATTCTGTTTTGGTGTCTAATTTGTTTTTATAATATACTTTGTGACAAATTTCAGGCATATCCTTTCTTTAAATGTTTAATTTGATATAACATCCATTTATGATAAAGAAATTCGGCAGCCATTTTTGTGGTCACTTTAAATGGCCATTTCAATAGTCAAGATCAAGTTTTTCAGTTTGGTATCCACCTTTATCGGATTCAGCATACCTTAAATAGGTAAAATACACCAAGATACCACTTGTACTACAAAATGCCTCTAGCATCTTATAGAGGGCCAAATTCTTAAAATCAGTCCTGTCTATAATTTTAAACTGTTGAAACGTTTTATTTTGTAAATATTGACTTAAATTATACACACACCCGCTATCTTATACATTATAGAATGGACAAAGAAGACAGATTTAACGGTCCGTGATTTTCCCTCTTTCCAAGAAATACACTATATAATACTTGACCTTTTATGCTAGGGAATAATGTCGTACACAGGATGCAACTTCTTCAAATAAAACCTCCATTTAACTCATGTCTTTGTCTTAGCTGTTATTATACCATCATAATTATGCATTTATTATAATTATTATTGTTACGGTTCTGTTAGTTTCAAGAGAAGTTAAAACAAATTAATTTGATGTATCTACGATTATAATCTACAAATTTTGCCAGTGAACGGACATGCTTGTTATTATAAATTTGGTTGCAAGATTATAAATATCACAATCCACGTGCAAAGGGAAATTTTGTTTTACAGTTTGTTTATGCGTTTTTATTCATTTAGAAGAGTGGTATTAATAGCGGGAAGGAATTGCATTGACACATTTAAATTAGGAAAGAATAAAACGTAAAATAAATAGAAAAATTGTTTGTTTTGAGACAATCTTGAATATATCATCCTTTAAAAAGGAAAATATTTTAATATTTAAAATTGCGTTCTGCACTCTTGTTTATATTAACAATATCCACTTCTGCTATAATCATTAAATCTAACTATATATTTTGTATGGCCTACACTTTTACAGTAAAAAAGTGGAAAAGGGGACGTATTTCTTTTTAAAGCAATGTAGCATGTACGGTTTGATAATTCCATATAGTACATGCCAGCCTGAGTTCCAGTCTGTCTATTGTTTGTGCTTCTGTCCGGCAATCGACATTCGCAAAACGATCGAGTATGTAATATTGCTTATGTTATGAATAAGCAAAAAAATATCAACGCCTGAATCCCAGGCTAAATGCATGTCTATTGAAAAAAAAAGGAAAGAAAAACAAAATATAGCCCGAAACAAATATCTGACTACACTTAAACATTCATGTATATCTACTTAATTACTGCAAGTGGAGTTACTTATACCACTTGAAATGTACATGTTATAAACCTCACAGAATTTTCGTAAACAACTTGACGGTTTGAAATACGAGGGTAAAACATAACAATTAAGGCCGGGCCTCATTTAACATTTTTTTCCTGTTACACTTGTTAAAGAGGCGCTAGATGTCCTACCTTTCTTTTTTTTCAGGCACGTTTATGTATGTACATAGAGTTACATTTAATGTATTTATATACACATAGGACAAAAATGGAATACCTCGATTAAGAATTAAAGACTTTTGTGCCAATTGCGTTCCTTAAAAAAATATTTCTGTTTCAGAAATTAGGCACAATTTATGATGGTTCTTAGGTCAGCTGTTGTGAGTAAATAATACTGCTTTTCTTCTTCTTTCTTCTTCTTCCTCTTCTTCTTCTTCTTCTTCTTCTTCTTATTATTATTATTATTATTATGGTTCTTCTTCTTCTTCTTCTTCTTCTTATTATTATTGTTGTTCAATTAAGTCAGTTATTGAAAGAATTATGTTAGAAATGTTTGTAAATATATATAACATGGCATTTGTCTGTTACTTGTCAATCAATGTGAAAACCGTTTTGCAAAAAAGACGTATTGATAATGTTTCTGTTTTTCAATTCCGTAAAATCTGTTTCATTGTATATGCATGTCAAAGCTGGAACAAATACAAAGTCAAAAAACTGGAATACACATTTTGAAATTCATTAAAAGCCTATACAAATAAAGTTTTTTCTTCCGTGCTTTTGCGAATATGTCATTCAATAAAAAATAATAATTTAGATTTGGCCTTTTATTTCAATTGTTCCAATAAATAGGCCTTGCATGAGCAAAACAAATCTACTTAATATAATGTTTGAGACAAGCACGAGGAGTAAAGACAGCTGTTAAACATTTAGTTCATCTAGATTTATTTTCACAAATAAAGCGCAAAACATATTGTGAGGAATAAGATAAACCATTCGGACTTTTTGACGATTTTTCGTTTAATCAGTAAGAAAAACTATGTCACTTACGTTTGTAAAAGTTTCTTTGTTCTTACTTTTACTAAGACAGTGTTCATTGTTTAGTTTTGAGTATGCCTTGAAAAAAGTTGATAGTCTTGAAGCTAGAGTGGTTGCTCTGGAGACGGTGGATCATTTAAGGCGTCTTGAAATCGATGAGATTTTTGGCCAATTTTCTGAATTCACCAAGAAATTGAGAGTAATGAATATCTCGTTACTTTCGACAAATATAAGTATGGACGTAAAAAATTGTAATAATTCAGTTGTGAGTACAGATGGACACACACTAAGTTACCTGGTTAAAGGAATGGCTGCGGAGAAACTGTTGAGCTACAAGAACAGACAGAATCTTGAGAGATTGATAAGTTACTTACAAAATCTTTTTAGTGACCATGAGAATAAGTTTGAAGAGATGACGAAAATGTTAAAAAGTGAAATTGATCAAAATAGAGAAAATCTGATAAATGGCCAAGCTTTATTGGCAGACACATGTGATACCATAAAAGAAGGTTATAGAAATGAAATGGCCTCTTTAAAGGCTGAATTTGAGCAAATGGCGTCTTCAAAGGCTAAATTTGAGCATGCACAGAAGAAAATGAAGAACGAAATAGAATTGTTGAAAGACGTAACAAAGAATCATAGGGCTATCGAGATAGAATCATGCATAGATTTATTACGTCAGTTCGTTAGTGGTATTTATGAGCTAAATAATGGTCTGAAAGTTTATTGTGATCAAACTACTGATGGCGGAGGTTGGATAGTTTTTCAGCGTCGTGAAGATGGAACTGTAAATTTTGAACGCACATGGGATAACTACAAAACTGGATTTGGAGATTTATTGCACGAGTTTTGGCTAGGAAACGATAATTTATATGACCTTACAGAACATGGTAACCACGAGTTACGTATAGATATGGAGGACTTTGAAGGTAATAAGGCTTATGCTAAATACAGTCATTTCAAAGTTCATGGAGAAGTTGATAAGTACAGGCTTGAAGTGAGTGGGTATAGTGGGAGTGCTGGCGATTCACTCATCCGTCATAACAAAATGGCATTTTCTACAGTAGACAGGGATAATGATCCGTACACTGGCAATTGCGCTAAGGATTACAGAGGTGCGTGGTGGTATTATTCAAGCTGTCACCATTCAAATCTCAACGGATTTTACTACCATGGGTCGGGTTCACCACATGGGAAAGGTGTTACATGGTTTCATTGGAAAAAATCTTATACGTATTCCCTAAAATTTGTCGAGATGAAGCTACGATCAACTTAATCTAATTGAATGTTTTGTAAAAGTATCGAGATTCATAAAATTTGGAATAATACATCTTCGCCTGTACACGTGTCTAATGAATATTTTTTACAATGTACAAATGTATAAATACATTCTTGCAAAGTTTTGATGCAGACAGTCACGCAGTGTTGATGCTACATAATGAAACTTGTTGTGAAAAAGTGTACACTTACACGATGAGATAAATGCATGGATACATTCAGTTGTACATTTTTATATCATAGAGCGCATGTTGGAAACACATCATTGGAATACTCTTTTATGCCTTACATTTAGATGAATGTCTGGTAAATTAAATCATAAACTACAAGAAAAAGTGTAACGTGATGTAACATAATTAAAAAACGCTACAAAATTCCAAATTAACGGAAGCAATTAAGCGAGAAATGCTTTTAAAAGTACAATTTACGTTAAAAGTGTATTAAATATAAGCACCTCGCAATAATTTGAATGTACTTATTGGAACTCGTTGCATTTATCATTCTAAATCGCTTCTCTCTATTCCCCTATTAAACAGTCCTGTCACTCAAGTGCATATTTCTAGGAAATATGTACAAAGTAAATAAAGGAATGTCTACTTTTCATACGAAATTCAATACGTTGATTTCAGCTCTTACACACAAATAAGAACATTAAGCTGGTGATGACCAATATAGAAAGAATAATGGAATATTTGAAATGTTCTACGATCAACTATAATGGTTGTCAGCATATATTTGGCGATGGATACTACAAGTGTATAATATATGAAGAAGATATTTGTTTGTTTTGTGTCACATCGACACAGTATAGGTCATATCGCGACGTCCCAGCTTTACTGGTGGAGGAAAACCTCAGCATTATTTCAGGCACGAACAGGCACCTGAGTAGAACCTCTGACGTTCCGTAAGCTAGCTGGATAGCTTCCTCACATGAAAGATTCCAAAGTCCCTGTCGGGATTCGAACCCACAGCGATGAGGGACAAGTGGTTTGAAGTAAACGACCTTAACCACTCGGCCACGGACGCCCCTAAAGAAGATATATAATATACAAGCACATGTATAGAAAACTGACGTTTATACAAGGACGTACGACTTCATTATATTATCTTTCTATTTAAATTAAAAAGATATTTCAAGAAAATACTGTTTCGTTTCCATACGATGCAAATACATATTTTGTAAATTGTAGCTATTCATTGATAAATGAAATTGAAGGTAACGTTACCTCAGGAAACGAAATGAAATTTCGTTCTGTAAAAATGGGCAAAAAAGGAGATTTATAACTTCAACAAGTCCATTTGTTTACCAGAAACGAGGTAATTAAGTTCTAATTACGTTGCGCATTGTGAATAGTCTAACATATGACGCATAACTCACCGAATGAGAACAATAACTGATGCGAATGTATAAGATTTAAATGGATCATCAAAATAGTAGTCAATATTAATTGAAACAAAAGGGTAGTATTTTAACTTGTAATTCAAAAATATAACGCTGTAAATCTGTAATTATTGCCAAAAAACAAAGAACGTAAAATATTGGCCTCAAAAGGTTTAACTGGCCCGCATTGAATAACTTTCTGGATAAATATTATCGGAAACCGGTAAAAAAAACAAAACAAAAACCAAACAACAAACCCTTTTGAAAAATAAAGATTAAAGTAAATTTTTCCTGAAGGCATATGGGAACATTCATTGTTTTAAGGATTTGGCTACATTAAACCGAAACGGATAAGATTGCTTTCATGTCATAGGCTTCCTTACCTTATAAATGATTGAAAATTAAAACCAAAAATTTGTTTCATATTTTGTTTTTTGCTCATACAAAAATTAATCTTAAATTTTCCGGGAAAAATGTTTAAAACTTTGTCTAGGACAAAAACCCCTTTAAAATAAAAAAATTGAGTTTTTCATTTTCCCCAATTTTTCTATATGGAAAAGATAAAAATTTTGAAGGCCCCTTTATGCCCCCGGGTATGCTTTGCCCTCATTAGAAAATCTGTTTAATTTTTTGGGCAAATTTCTCCTTAAAAGTAAATGGGGGTTTTGGGTGAGGGTTTGTGGTCGGGAAACATTGGGCAAAGTGGCGGGCTGTAAAAATGTAAATTTCCCTAGTTTTAAATAGTATAAGTGCTTTGAAATTTAGCAGGAATATTAGAAATAATAAAATTTTAAATTATGGGATAATCGGTTAAGTAACACGATAAATTTTAAAAAGGGTATTTTGTAAGTTTCAAAATTATACACTGGTTTTACTTGTATCAAGTTTGAAGCATTATATGCGTTCAAAGTATAGTTTAGAAGTAACGTTCGTTTTGTTTGTTTGTATAATTTCAATATTTTGTGCCATAGTACTATGCAATAAATCAAAACCATATAGCTTAGATTAGTAAATGTACTATAAAGACCAGTGTATGGAAGAGAATTTCCATTCATGTTTTTAAAGTATACTATGTAATAAATTTTTTTCTGACAATGTCTCTCTCGAGATTGCAAGTGTAATACATAATTATACACAAAGTATTTTTTGAATGTAGAATCTCTCAAAAAGTAATTCACTTGTAAATTAAATATATAATCAATGGTAACCATTAATAATGAAAGAAAAGAAATACTTGCATCTTGCTAATGTACTTAGTTATTTACTTATGCATACATGTAATTTTATATATCATGAATGCTTGTACATGACTATTTTGAGAGTTAATTAGCAAAATAAAGATTCTTCTTCTTCTTCTTATTATTATTATTATTTTTCTATATTCCGTTTAATTTTAAGGTGCGTAAGAAATACATGGACGGTCTTGCTGTTTGATCATTCCCTGCAAATAATTCTTCATCTTTAAATAAATTTAGAATTATGCTGATTCATTTTATTTACACTATATGACCATTCATTTTTAAAAGGGCTTGGCTCACTTTCAAACATAATAGTGCCCTCAAATTTGGTAAAAAATAGAACAGCTTGAACATATCAAATGCGTTTATTTTTATGCACACCTACCCTAGATATGCCATTTGCAAATATGTAGCCCATGTTGATTTTATATTATTACTTCATACCAAAATAATAATTCTTAGACACACTTGTTTCGGAAAACCTGTGATATGTGAAAATCCCCCCCCCCCAAAAAAAAAAGAGTATGAGCCACTACATTTGACAATTTATCACCCGGCATATGTGTTCAATAGATAAAACCGGATTCCAAAAATGTATATTTGCAATTGGAACATGTGGTGACTCATATCTAAATTTTAACTGAAAGCACACTGGTACTGCCCGTTAAACTCAATATATCATATCACAATTTAGACATTAGTTTAAGTATAAATAATAAATAATATTTTTTCAATACATCAATCACCAATTTTTTCAACAATGCATATTAAAAAGTAAAAACTTCAGTGAATGTATTTGTTTACACTATGTCCGAACGATTTACAAGAACAAACAAATATTTTTCGAAATGGTTGATTACGGTGGATCAAAAGTCTTACACTGATTATTAGATTTCTATTTTATAATTATTATCAATTTAATATAAAAATGTTGTTTCTCGGGTATCATAGTGTAATGACATCAAGAAAGATAACTTATTTAGAAACATTCCAGTCTAGTGATTGTGTTACTTCCCTTTAATTTTATTTTGCTAGCTTCTCACATAACAAACATCTGATAAAAAGCGCAATATAACATACATATATAAATGACTGTGAATCCATAGACGAATGGTTAGGATTGTTTTTTCAGTCCCAGCGAAAGTGTTTGAATCTAAAAAATCGACATTTTTGGTCAACTTATCATGATAATAGAAATCTAAATTCATTTTGAAATAATGTTATTGACACATATGAAGAATGAAAATATTTTTTTTACATGTTGTATGACAAAATCTCGTTTGAAACATGGAGTTTACGGTCATTTTAATTCCCAAGTTGAACGTGGGCTATTCTATGATATTATCGACAAAAGGAATTTTCACTGGAAGTAAAAATGGAAGCGGGACTCCGACATCTATTTGTATATATATAATCACCAAATAAAGACGTTTCTCTGATGTCAATGTAAGAAAAGGTTTGTACGCAATTAAAACGTGCGTTATGTCAAGTTAAACCCTTAAAATAGACATTAATGCTTGGTCGTTTTGTGCCAGTATCATTCATACGATGAGATGGCGGTATATATTTATATAGGGGACGTTTTGCCACATTTGTACGTGTTTTATGCTTTAACCAAAATTAGGCTTAAAATGCTCCCCCAACCTGTCAAACTGTACAGAAGTGTTTGCATAAAAGGCAATGAACTGCACCGTGTGCGTGTAATAAGTGGGAGGACTCCTGCCTCACTAGGTGAATTCAGTCAAAAACTTACCAACGACAGCATTTAAACGGCCATTTTCTACCGCTTCTACGACAAATACACCGCCGCTGCGATTAACCCCAGCTATGGCCAGTGTGATATTTACTTTTGCGATATTTACTTTTGCGAAGAAATGAACTTAAAAGATACACAGACACGAAGACCATAACTTTTAAACGGCCCTCTGTCTCCCCTACGGAATGTGGCACTTACATTGCCATACCAGCTAGCATCGTATCTATGTATATATAACATTGTGTATAATATGTGATAGAAGGAACAATGTACATGTACACATGGTTGTCAAAATATTTATATGAATATTCAATGGAAGTTCGAACTTCATGGTTTTGAAAATATTTTAATGAATATATAATGGAACCACGGATCTTAATATAAATCCGTGATAGAACTTTAAAAAAATCAGATTTCTATTTAAACTGGAGCTGAAATCCTCTACTTGTTTTAATGAACTGCTTGTTACATGAAAAGAGTAGCGATAAATGTGGAAATAATGAGCCATTAAAGTAGCGAATGTAACCAAATTAGTACATGAAGTATATTGACTTCCATATAATATATTATAACTTACAGGTTTTTGGACAATGGATGCTGTAAAAATGCACCAAATTTAATTAACTAATTTCTAAGTCACAGTATAAAACTTATAGGTCCCTGCTGGGAACCTAGATTTGATACTTCATTGATTTCGAAAGTAAAATTGTCTAACCGTACTTTTCAAGTCGGGAATATTTTTTCCGTTTATAAAACACGTGTTTCACGGAATATAAATACGCTTGCCGCCTAAACCAATCAGTAGCGGTCCGATTTTACCTCTGAATTTACCTTGTTCTGTTTTGCTTTGAATTAACCGATGCCGACGGAGAAAGACATTTTCTATTTTTTGAAAATCTTTTTGAAAGAGGTAATATTTTTATTTTGTTGAAATACAACTGTTTACATTACCCCACCACTTTTTACAATGCGTCAAATGCACCCCACCCACAGACACGTTGGTTGTGGAGCTCAAAGCGCATTTAAATTTAAAAAAAATGTATATTTGTCATTCCATGGAGCTAAATAATACGGAAGCGTCCTGGTGCCAATTCATAATGTTCTATAAAAAAAAATAAACTCCTACGTAGGAGATAAAAAAAGCCTAATTAGGAGTTTGTAACTCCTACGTAGGACCTACTTAGGACTTTATAACTCCTACTTAGGACTTTAAATTATAACTCCTACGTAGGACTTTATAACTCCTACGTAGGAGATAAAAAAGCCTAATTAGGAGTTTATAACTCCTATGTAGGACTTTTAAACTCCTAAGTAGGACTTTTTAACTCCTAAGTAGGACTTTTTAACTCCTACGTAGGACTTTGTAACTCCTACGTAGGACTTTTAAACTCCTACGTAGGAGTTTGTAAGTCCTACGTAGAACTTTATAACTCCTACGTAGGACTTTAAAACTCCTACGTAGAAGATAAAAAAGCCTAATTAGGAGTTTGTTACTCCTACGTAGGACTTTTAAACTCCTACGTAGGACTTTGTAAGTCCTACGTAGGACTTTATAACTCCTACGTAGGAGATAAAAAAGCCTTATTAGGACTTTATAACTCCTACTGTACATAGGACTTTTAAACTCCTACGTAGGACTTTCTAACTCCTACGTAGGACTTTATGACTTTATAAGAAATGCATACAGAATGCTTTGCAAATCTTAACAATCCGGAACGGTATATCGGCGAAGGAACAATACACTTACTCCCTCCCCCCCCCCCTCAAATCTTAAATATGGAGGACATTTCACCTTTGGTTCATACAGAATTTATTTAAG